ACTGGACATGACTGATGCGAGGTCGGCATCAGCGCGCGCGGCCAGCACGACCTCGAGCGCACGGCCTCGACCCACGGCCTCGCACGACCCCCCCCCCCGCGGCCTCCCAGCGTTCCCGGTGGGCTCGCTCTCGTTTGCCAGCTCTACCTTGTAGCACTGGGAGCCCGGCTCCGACTGGCGCGCGCGCGGCGGTGAAGCAGGCAAGTGCAAGGGGAAGTCACGCGGGTGTGCCCCGCGCGGGGCATCTGCGAAAAAACGCCCCGCATCCACGGGGTCGCGGCCCCGGGTCGGGTCGGGCGAAAGGGGGGGATAGCAAAGGGGGGGGTTGAGAACCAGCTCACGTAGCTGATATTGTCGAAGGCGGCTGTGTATCGAAGAATGGGCCCCTCGGTGAGGCCGAAACCAGCTGCATGCAGCAAATTTCGTAACCCCCCCTTTCCCAATCCCCCCCTTTCGCCCGGCCCGACAGGGGCCCGGCCCGCGAGGCCTGGATACGGAGATGCTTCCCGCCCACGAGCAAGCGAAGTCGCCGAAGAGGCAACGAATCTTGCGGCGAGGGGCCGGAAGGAGCTCCGTCTCGCGCGGGGGTGCTTCCCGACTCGGCGGTCGGCGCGCTGACGAGGGAACAGAGTGCCCCTGAGAATCCTACGAGGGGCTCCAAGCCTGGCCGACCAAAGGGCATGGCAGCCTTGAGCTTGATAGCCATGTGATGCAGAAGGACAATCTAATAGTTATGAAGGGGCCCTGGGACACACAAATAAATACACAGAAATAAAAGGATCCCCCATATGTTCCAATATTTTCTGGGTTTTTGTCTTCCCCCCCACTTCCCATATTTCCTATATTTTCTGGGGAATCGACGATTGATTGTGTCTGTGTTTTTTCCCCTCCTGATTGGAGGCGCACGTCCGAATCGAACATACAGTACAAACATCTCGTAGAATATTGCTACCACTGGCGGTGGGGCAAGACAGCGCCCACCGCCGAGCCTAGCCTGCAAGATCTCTGAGCGCGCGCGCGCGTCACCCCTTCGGCTCCGACGCACAGGCAATGCACGCGTGGTTGGGTGATGCCGAAGCCAGGGCCTGCGGAAGCCTAACCAAGGGCAACGGCGCCCGCGGAGCAGACGGGATGGTAACCCGAAACCTGCCGTCGCTCGGACGTCCATCTCCTGTGCATTTGTCGGTGTCGTGCGTGTTTTTTTGGCTCGTTGGTCGAGGATGGTCCTCGATGGTTCCAACCAAGCCAGGGCCTGCGGAAGCCTAACCAAGGGCAACGGCGGCTGCTGAGTAGACAGGAGGCGGAGGAGGAGGAGGAGGAGGACGAGGAGGAGGAGGCGCGCGGACCGCACGCCACCAGCAAGAGGCAAGCCTCGAGCTGGTGGTCCGGTTCGATCAGCGCCCAGCGCACGCCAAGGCGTGGGCCGAGCGGGCGGGCCGCCCCGCCTGCCTGGCCACGTCGTGCACCTGCTTCCCCGACACCGTGGGCGCCAGGTAGAGGCACACGTATGCGGCGGGGGAGGGGACGACGGGCGACAGACTACAAGGGCGGCCCAGGAAAAACAAAACGAGTTTAATCAGACGACCCAGAACTCGCTCCATCGGGAACGGGTTCGGGAGCACTGGCCGCTTCCAGCGGCCTTGCACTATCAGCACTGTGGGGCTCCTCCGCACGGTCAACTCCGCACTCGGCAGCCCCAAGAATCTTCACGCCCGTTCTAGGGTGACACCCGCGCTCCAGACGTCTGATCGACATTCTCTGGTTGGCGGCCGTGCTCGGGACTTTGGACCTCCCTTTACAACGCTGCGTGAGGTTTCGCAGCGAGCCAAGAGATCCGTGAGCCCCGCACAATTTACAACAGTACACATGCAGATGACGGAACACGTCGTGCCCAAGGTCCCGAAATACAGAGAACTCATCTGACGGCTCAGGAGTGGCCACAGGAGTCGGGGGACCTTGGAATTCATCATTGCACACGCGCTGAGCCTCGTCAGCGGCGGCCAGAGCAACCCTCACCGCTTCAAGCTGCACGGGCCTAAAAGCCGCCCCAAACTCACGAAACCACTGGTCGCACACGTGTCGCTGGATCGATGACGGAGAGCAAACACTGTAGTCCCTGCTTGTGAGCAGGCTCTTGAGCGACTCTGGAGTGCGAGCTACGCGGCCACAGCTCCTGCACTTGTAAGTGCTGGTGGCCTCGCAGCGAAACAAAACATGGCTGGTGACCGTGACCTTGGGAGGGGCGGGGGCTCTCAGGAGGCGGAGAGGACGCTCGGGGTCGAGGTGAGTCCACGTGCCTGACTCGAGCAAACGCTGAGCAGCCCACGCGATAAACCGCACCGTGGACCTATGATATTTTAACTGTCCTGAAACCGCTGCACAGAAACCTTCAGCAAGCGTGTGAGAGCTGGCCCCTAGTTTGGCGAAAAAATCAGCCCACAGGTTCCCAGCCCAACTTTTGATGCACAGCCCACGCTCCAAAACGTCGTCAAAACTCAGATGGGCAGGGAACCACGAGAACTGGGGGTGACTAGACTTCAAGTCAAAAATGGACCTCCAGATCGACGCATGCTTGGACATGCCTTGAGACAGATGCAGGCAGGCTCCACGAGTTGCCTTCGCGTACTACAGCCTGGAGGTCCGACACAATACACTGATGCTGGGGGTGATAAGCTAGACCCTGCCGCACTGCCCACCTTTCAGCACGACCTATGGTCTGACGCTCCCCTGGAAGCGCACCATATACTGCCCTCAACGGAAGCAGACAATCGAACAACTGCACAACGCTCCAACCAGCTCTGGAGACCTCTGGGACCCCAGAGTGAAAACAACTGCCGTCAGTGAAAGACAGAGGGCCCCAAGGCCCTGAGACGTCCCCGAACTCGAAAATGGGGGGGTTGGCAAGCGGAGCGGGAATATTAGTGGGCAGAGGTGGGATACCATAAGTTAAATAATTAGAGTGCACATCGGGCTCCCCAGTGATAGAGGCCCGAGACTCAATCAGAACACGCCTATGCTTAGCTAAGGCCTCAGGAACCTCGTCACCCAGCGCGTCAATCCCGTCGTCAGTGATGAACTTAGAACAGGCATACCACACGTGTCCGTACGTACCTTGAGGAGCGGAGCAGGCAAGGCACGCAGGTGGTACGTCATATTGTAGAGCAGAAAGTGCAGCAGGTAGCGGAATAACATTCCCCCAGACGGCCGCCAAGGCCCCAAGAGCCCGCTGGTCTTTTACAGCACGTATACCATTACGTAACGCACGAACCCAAGGCTCTCCTTCTGGAGGGTCAGTATTATAAAGATGCAGCTGCAACCGACGAATCTGCCACCGCTGCACACCTTCAATAATCGCAATACGCACGTCACTTGGACACACCACCAGCAGCGAAATATCTGTACCAAGATCGCTGCGAAAGGTGTGGGCATTGGTCATCGTCCAGCCAATGCGAAGCAGGCTTAGCCACACCGCCGACAGCGGACCTCGAGCCTGCTGCCACGTAGGGTTGTCGGACATGATGTCTCTCAGGCGGGTCCAAGCACGTTGCACTCTCGATAACTGCAACCTTCCGTCCCAGACGAACGTGGCGAACTTCACACACACACCAGTAGTGGAGTCGTAGATCGGGTCGTATTGCGGATCAGCCTGCGTCAGCAGATACGAGGTAATGCCACCGTGCTGCTTGGCCCCTGCGATCGTAGCCGCAAGCTGCCTCAAATACTTCAGCGCAGTGTCTGAGATGCCCGACACTGATCCCCCGTGTCCAGCTGCTGGGAGAGCTCCAGTCCTCCACAGTCGGGTTGCACGCTTGCCAGTAGCATGTTTCAACGCAACGAACTTGTCACGACGACGTTTGAGAGCCTGCAACCTTTTCTTCTCCTGCGTGCGAACAACCCGACCAGCAGCCAATTCATGCCCGAGGTTTCTCATCCACTTGCGAACTGGTAGGCGCAGCCGAGCAGCCATCCTCGAGAACACCTTCCGAGCCACTGTGTTCCCTGCAATGAGCCCCGACTTCTTGACATTGGAGTGGAGTCCCAGGACCTTGGCATCTTCAGTGAACACTTTCACCGCACGTTCCAGGAAACGGACGTCCCGAGGATCCGAAGTGACGAGCTGAATCGATATGTCGTCGACTAGGGCTCTCGGTGTGATACAGGGCGAAATGTCATTGAGCCTACGCACAGCACGCAGCGTGAGAAGGGAAAGCATGCCTGTCGCATGATTGCACCCTGCAAGGATGCCTTGATGCGAGCAGAACTGCACAGATAGACTGCCGAAAGCTCGAAGACGCCGTGGCTGCCTGCACAGATCCACCAGCATCCAAGCTAGCCGCATTGGAAAGTGCAAAGCTTCAGCTTCTCTCAGCAGCTGCTCCGAATGCACCATCTCGAAACATTTGATCATATCTACGAGGACAGAAATGGAGATATCACCGACCAGCGCCGCCGTCTCGGCAGCGATGTTATGAGCAAAAGCACTGTCTGAGGAGCTGAAACCACGACGAGTCCCCCAAACAGCGTGGCAATCATTACGCTCCTGCCAGTCGAAGGTGATGGGCTTGCGAACTTTGCCCCAGACACGGCACAGCAAAGAGACGAGCGCGATCAGTCGAGTCCCACCATCTGGTTTGGCGAGACGACACATCTCATTGCAAACTCGCTCCCTGGGCCAAGCCAGGTGCAACTCGCAGAGGTTAAAGAGTTCTGCAATCGCCGAGAAAGCCTGTCTAGGCAGGTGTATTAAGGCTCTTGGGTGAATCCCCATCATGCCTCCAGCAGTGCGAGTGGGGTAAGTGTGAACGGCATCCTCCACCTGAGCGGCCGTGATACGCGGCAGACTGGGCCAGCTGCTGGACCCCCGCGGAACCTCGAGAACCGAACAACCATGGGACAACCAAACCTCCCTCCAGGGATCGAGTTCCGCGTCGGCCTGCTGGTGGGGAGCCTCGCGCGCCTGGTTGCTTAAAACCTCTTGGATGGCCTTTACCTTTGAGAACCTGTGAGCCTTCGAGGCGCCAGCAGAGAAAGCATCCCTGGCCCATTGCCTCCAGGCCTGGGACGCTGCATTCTCCGCGCGGGCGATGGCAGACTTCGCCCGAATGTAGATCTTCGTAAGCATACTGGCAACGTCGGGACGTGCAAGGACGGCGAAGCCGCCATTGAAGAAATCACGCACGTCAGAGTCAAGGCAACCAAGCACTTTTTTACAGCGGGCAACGTTGGCCATGAACCGACTGAACTCCTCAAACGCCGAAAGAAGCTTGCGACATTGGCGAGGCGCAGCAGCACAAGGAGCTTCGTAAACTTGCAACAGCCTGATTTGCTCACTAATATGTTCTCTGGCCTTGCCAAGGTGTTTGGCCCACCCAAGAGCGACAGCCCAGGCACGTGCCTGTGGATCCTTATAAGTCCTCCTTCTGGGGGGAGTCCAGACAAGCTTTTTGAACTGGACCTCAAGAGGCCCACTGCGGCCCACGTAGGCCTCGGCGGCAACGCCAACACGGCCCCACCTGGCGGCCAGCTCTCTTTCCACCCCTTCGAGGACCAAATCCCAAAAATCAGCAACTTTGGCAACAGAATCTACCTGCGGGGCAGCGGTCGTAAGAACTGCGTGCCACGGATAAATCGGAGGCCTAGCACAGCCGATGGGAGGGGTCGACGGGAAAGCTTTCGGGACCTTGGCAACCCGAGCCCACACGGGCGTCTCCCGAGCCCTCAAAGTCAGCTGGACGGGGAGGTGAGGGTATGTGGTGGCCGCCTCCAAAACGCACGTGCAGGGGTCAAGCTTTGGCGCCAGCCAGCTGCTGCAAATGAAATAATCTATGTGCGTGCCTGGTGAAACCTGCCTGCAAGTGGGCGCCTCAGACACGAAAGCCAGTCCTCCAGCCGCCGCAATCCAGTCGGACTGGTCCAGGGCGGTGAGCGGCATGTTGAAATCGGCGCCGATGATCCACGGAATCTGCATGCCGTTGAGCACTGACAGGTACTCGATGATCTCCCACACCAGCTCGGCATTGCACGGTCCGTAACCTTCACCGTCCTTGAGATAAGCCGACAGGAAGACCACTCCTCCAGGCAGAAATGACATGACGTGCGCTGCCACCAGCCTGCCAGGGACAAGTACATGGCTAGCGCGGCCAGGAGGCGCCTTGATGGGAATGTGTGACCTGACCAAAACAGCAACTCCGCCAGTAGTGCCCGACCCTCCATCTTGGTTGGGCACTGCAGGGCCCCAAAGCCCTCTCCAGCCAGTGTCTTCAACTTGCGACTGACGTTCACCCAGCTTGGTATCAGGCACATGATGCTCTTGCGCCAGCACCACATGAGCGGTGCTGTCCACCAGGTAGTCGCACAGTGGACCCAGCGAGCTCGAGTTAAGCGTCACGATCAGAGAGTCGCTTTTGCCCTTCGCCTGCCCAGCAAACTTGACATCAGGTCGACGAACCCCTGGACAGTCGGTACCCTCTGCCACGCGATGCCCAACGGGCGAACGTGGTGAGCAGTGTTTTTTGTTCCATCCAGCCAGAGGCAGAGTTGAACTCTCCGCGCCGTGCGCGGGGCCGGGGAGCAACGGTGCGAGGGTCACTAACGGCGCACCGCCGGGCAGTCCCCACTCGCACCGCGCCCCCCGCTGGGTAGACAAACCCACGCCTGAACGTGATGAGCAGTGCGTGCTGCCAGGGTCTAAAGGATGTATGCCATCGAGTCGCCCAGTCGAGCCATCAACTCTCGTCGAGCGAGGGGCCGACCACGTCAAAGCGCACGGTGCACATGTGGCGCTCTCTGCCTGCCCCCTGAGGGCAGGTAAGTGTAGCGACCGAGACGATGGCGTAGCACCCGTGGTCGCAGTAGCTGCCCTTGCAGAAGACGCAGTAGGGGCATTCTGAGCACATGGCCCAGGCAGATCAGGCTGACTGTCCACAGCTTGATCAAATTGAAAGGGGTCAACGTCAGGATCGTCCAGAAGAGAACTCCTGTGAGCTGTGGTCGGCTCTTCTTGGGCAGTAGGCGACGTCATTGCAACAAAAGGATAGCAAAGACAGAACATCACCACAACAAAGCACCCGACCACTTTACGCAGCGGTCGCACCACTGGTCTTGAACTTCTTGGTGAGCATGTGAACTTGGGCCAAGTGACGCTTGAGCTTGTCCCGTAACTCACGCTCCTTAGTATCGTCAATCTCCTCATCATCCCCGCCCACGTCGACGTCGATGCCACATTCTTTGAGATGTTCACGGCAAGTGCGACCGTCCAAGCTATCGACATGAGCATTAGCACGATCCTGATCTTCAGCGTCGTCGATATCCATGGACTCTCGAGCCTCAGGAGGAGTGGACTGAGTTTCGTGCTGAGGCGGCTCGGGCGCGACTGCCGCCTCTGGGGCTTCCTTGAGCTTCTGCACCAGAGCGCGCATGGCGATGAGGTCGGCACTGAAACGCTCCGAGCCGCCCAGCGCGCGGACCACGGCGTCAAACTGCTCCACCGTGGCCTCCATGCCTGGTAAGAATGTGGAGAGGGATGGTGACTTGTCATCGAACTGCACCGCGGGACCGACCACGTGGCGCAACCTCTCCTCGAGCTCCAGGATATGTTTGTTAGCATCATGCTCATCCTGCTCGACCTGCGCCAGGGCCAGCTTGGCCTTCTCCAGCGTAGCTCGAGCAGCCTCTTTTTTGACAGCAATACTGGATAGCTTCGTGCGAGCGGTCTTGAGCTGGCTGGTGAGCCCCTGCAGATTGGCCTCGATCGGTTTATCAGCCTGGAGCTCGGCCTGCAGTCGCTGCTTCTCGGCCTCATACACCGCACGCTGCTCGGCATCTTCAGGCCCCGACAGGATCTTGAGGAGGCTACCAAGCTTGGCGAGACGCTCACGCTTGACCGCCACTCCAGTGCCTTTAGCCCAGGGAGGAATGGCGGGCTCCTTGGACTCCAACTCCGTACCATTGTGACTTCCAACCAGCTTCTGCATGCGCTGCTGCAACTCCTCCAACTGTTTAGCGAGAAGCTTCTCCCGCTTTGTGACCAATTCATGAGAGCGTTGCACTGGAACTTTGGGCGGGGGCACCCCGTGAAAGGCGGAGCCTTTCGGAATGCCGCACTTCCCGCACCACTTCTGATCACCACGGTTGATCCAACTCGTTGCCGTAGGCTCATGCTTGCACCATTTGCAGTACCATGGGCCAGCCTCTGTGCTGCGCGACCTGGGCGCCATGGCAGGTTGGAAGAAAAAAAACTAAAAAATAAACGAAAAAAAAAAAAAAAAAAAAAAAAAAAAAAAAAAACACAAAAAAAAAAAAAAAAAAAAAAAAAAATCAGCACGCGCAAGGAGGCCACGGGAGCAAAGCAACCAGGGCCGTGGTGGGGCTGGGCCGTGCGGGGCGGACCACGCACCGCTCTGCCTGGGGCGAACCAGGCGAAAGATGAAAGCTGGCCGCGGACTAGCGGTATCCACTTTGTTCCCAGGGGAAACCAAAACCTTGAGCCAAAATGAATACGGAGAGGAGGAGGAGGAGGAGGAGGAGGAGGAGGAGGAGGAGGAGGAGGAGGAGGAGGGAGGAGGGGACGAGGAGGAGGAGGAGCAGGAGGAGGAAGGAGGGAAGAGGAGGAGGAGGAGGAGGAAGGAGGAGGAGGAGGAGGATGGTAACCAGAAATGGGGCTGCAGAGCTCGGCGGCAAGGACCCCTGGTACTGCAAGGGCAGGGGGGGGGATCGCAGGTCGTTCCCCTGTCTTGATGCACCTTCGCCTCCCCGTCTTCCTCCCGTGCCCCCGCACCCCGTACTCCAGATTTCGTAATAAAAGGGAGGGGGGTCTCATTTCGGGGGGGGGGGTCTCTTCCAGGCTATCTTGGAGGGCCTGGGGGGGTCTGGGGACGATGTTTTGGAGGGTTCGCCCACGGGGGGGGTCTGAAATGGCTTGTCTTGGAGGGTCCAGATCCCCTCCCTTTTATTACGAGATCTGGAGTAACCGCCCCGATGCGCGACACGCAGCCCGTGGCGTGTTGACAAGGAGCTCAACGCGTGAATTGAAGACGTGGGTCTGGCGGGATACAGTGGAGGCCCGTCCACAAGAAACCTTCCACAAGGAACCCAACCCTGAGACCCCAGGACGTCCATTGATTTTTGATGTGGGAACGTCACGCCTTCCTTGCAAAACCATCGAAACAAAAGAAACCCAGGGCACCTTTGAGGAAGGCAGGGTGTTTCTTAGCACGGGCTTCCACTGTGCTCTGAAAGGGACGGGAATCAAAGAAGGTGCAATCAAAAAGTGTATCATCAAAGGCGGATGGCAAAAAACAATATCTTTGAAGGTCGAAAATTAATCTTCCAGGCGGCGGGCGACCGGTGAAACCGGCAGAGGACGGGCCGCAGAGGCAAGGACACAAGCTGACCCCAGATGAAGGCGCGCGTCCTTACTAGGCGCTAGATGGAGGCGCGTCCTTACTAGGCGCGTTGACTGTAAACAAAAGAGCTGACAATTCGCTAGGAAGAAGGTGGACCACATCAAAGAACAGTCATTGTTGCAGATCGAGCAAGCAACACAGGGAACGCCTGAACGTAGGTTCTGAGCCTAGAAACTGCAGCCTGGAAAGAGCGAGTGGAGGAGGGGTCACACGCAACTCAGCCTCTGAATTGCTGCCACTGACTTCTAGAAGAAGGATAGATGCAGTCGACGGGAGTCCCCACAGGTTCTTGCTTGTGTGCTTGTTCTCTCTCTCTCTCTCACTCTCTCTCTCTCTCTATCTCACTCTCTTTCTATCTCCCTCTCCCTGCTCCCCACACGATGCCAACGTTGCGCCGAAAACGACATTACATGGGGCCCGGCCGCCTAAACACGTAATGATCCGATGGCGTTCCGCGAAATTCTCTCAACAACGCGACCCGTTCTGCAACGCTGAGCCCGGGCACAGACCAACCGTCCTCCGCTTTTTGCCAACGCTGACAAGACACGTTCGCGAACACTGGCAACACTCCCAGCGCGATTACGCAAGGAGCGCAGCCAGACGACACCAGCCTACCTACGACAATTTCGGCTGGGCAGCCAATCAGTGTGACACGAAACAGTGGAGAAGGGCAACGTATACACCACACCATATCCGCACATGTAGGACACGCTCGAAACCTACGTCTGTACACGGGCTGACCCAGAAACCTGTCTTCAATTGCGCACGTGCCTGCTGAATGCATGGATCAAACAACACCAGATGTCATGCTGGACCGGAGCAAAGACAACCTGAAACACTACTCGCACACAGTTTGTCGATGATGCTAGGGCCATCGTGCAAGCGCTGTCCCCCTCACCTCACGAGACGTAATGACAAGAAAATACATGCGCGTAGTGAGGCTACGGTCCGCATCTCATCGATTGGTCCGCCAAGCATGCATAATCAAATGGGGGCAACCACTAATCCGAACTGCTCCTGCAGCGTTGCGAGATCACCCCAGGGACCCTTCCCCAATCAAGTATATGTAGACCCCAGCACGACCTCCCAAAGCTCCAGGGACCCCACTCACCTCTACAATCTTCTTTAGGTCGTACTTGCTTACCTTTTCCAACAAACTGCAAGCATGGGTTTCCATTGGGATGCCCATTGGAATCACTTGAACTGAACTTGACCTGCACATGAAAGAGACTACCTATGCTCCTCCAGTCAGGGCGGACCAATGGCCACGGAGGTCACCCATCCAGACACAGTCATCTCAGGAACCGAGACTCAGACTAAAAAGGCTAAGCAATACCTCAGTCGGCAGTCCTGTGGAGAATATGTGGGGAAGGCGGCGGCAGGGATGTGAGACATGCTACAGAGTCCTCATTTCGAGCCGGCCAGACTGAAGGGGCCCTGGGACACACACACACACACATAAATACACACAAATAACAGGATTCCCCATATTTTCTGGGTGTTTGTCTTCCCCCCACTTCCCATATTTCCCTATATTTTCTGGGAGTCGACGATTAATTGTGTCTGTGTGTTTTTGTTCCCTCCTGGCAGACACGTGCAAGGATCCTGGACTTGCCACCTGCTGCGCTCTCCTTAACCAGCCTCGAACGTATCCCTATCACTAAGATG